CATAGATCAGCTTCGTGCAATTTTGATAGACAAGGTGGAAGTCGAGGAAACTGTGTTGCCTCTAAGGAGACATTTATGCCAAGTACTGTCTTTCAGATACTTTTGAATTTGCGTACTGCTGGAGAGTCCCAAACTAGGACGAAACAGCTGTCCAGTACTCCCCGCAGGTTTTCCAGTGGTTCTCTAACTGATGTCAGCTCATGATGAAATCCTCCTTGCAATCAAAACAAAACCGATACTTGAGAATAAATATGTGTTTTCTTTATTCATAAATAAACACCACTGAAGTATTAAAATGTATTTATAGAAGTGAGTAGTGGAATGAAGGCATGCTAAATCAATATTTTGTGTACTCTTTATTTGGTAATTAACTATGCTAAAAAGTTTTTGAACCAAGGTGATACACATAACAGCATACTTGTTCTTAAGAAATGTGTATTTGTATGATGCAATACCTGTCCTTGTTTTGGTATCTAATTCTACTGCTTTATTACTGCGTTTGCTATAATTGAGGTCAATCTTTTATCTTTTTTTTTTGAGGATGTTTTCAAAGTCTAGGATACTAGTAATTGTAAACAATCGGCTCAATGTTTTTGCTAGTTCTGTTGTACTACTAATAATAATAATAAGTAGACACTTAATTACCTAATCAAAAAATTTATTTGCATAGCTGACTGACTGACTGGTTTCAACATAGAACTTTGCACCGATGTGCAGCAGTTCGAGTCGCCACACTCCATGTAGCACACAAACGAAGAGAAAGAAATAAAAAGAAATGAAAAATAGAGACAGTAAACAAAGATATGAGGCAAAACGAATAGTAATATTGAAGAATAATGTAGTTTTATTGGGTATTATAAGTCACAAAGTGTGGATGGATCTGCACCAGCCATTGAGAACGATTTTGAGCCATATCACCAACTGTTTCCAGCTGCCATTGGTTATTACTGTTTTGAGGACCCCCACCAACTAAAAGTCTACACCTCCCTACCTGACTGTCTTAAACTCACTGTTGTGGATTTCATTGACTGATGAAGCCATGTTTTGGTTTGACCACCACTGGCTGTTTTCCAACCGGATCCTATATCAGTTAACACTGCCCGTCGAGGAAGGCGATGGCTAGCAATGCATGCCTAACATATGTCCTAACCATCTCAATCGATGCGACTTCACAGCATCAGAGATTGATTTCCCCTCCTTACCTAGCCTAGCATTCGACGCCTAACCTCAATATTGCTCACCCTATTATACCACTTCACATGGGAGATATAACGTAGGCATCTATGGTCGAAGACAACTAGCCTTTTCATGTCTTCAACTCTCAATGGCCAAGTTGCACAGCTATAAAGGAGGACGGAGCAGTCCAGCGGAGCATATCTAGACTAACTTCTCTCTTAAAATGTTGAAATAATGTTCGTTTCTCCAGTTTTTCCACTATGTCTGCCTAACGTGTCACATAGTATAATGCATAGTGATCTGCTGTCTAACGTATTAGATGGTTTTTAAACCTCGGTGTACAGTCTTACTACCAGATTCTGTGGGATTTTTAAGGTTATATGTGGAGTGAAAAAAGCCATCTACAACCATTCTATAGCATAAATATTTTGGGGTTCGTTCACAGTACTCTTTGTTATTTTGTATTAGGATATTCTTAACAACCTTCCTAACTTATCTAGGCTGTATCGTTTTTGAAGGATCGGAAAAGTAAGACAGGCCATCAGTAATCTGAAATCAGCGTTGAAATCTCCTTCACTCCGCATAAGTAATAAAATTTGGATTTACAACATTTATGTCCAATCTATGCTTCTATATAATTCAGCAACTTTGCGCGTCATTAAAAGCATTCCCAACAGACTTCCGACTTTTACTAAAAACTGCCTTCACTCCATATTGAAGATGAAATAGCCGGAAAGAATTAGCAACAAGAAGCTCTGAGAACGAACCAATCAACAACCTATTGCTCAACAAATATTCCGAAGAAAACTGAGATAGACCAGGCACACACTGACGAGTTTGTTGGGTGACATCACACGCCAGGCCATCGCTTGAGTAAAGGTTGAATGGGAAACGACGAGTTGGATGTGGGGTTCTGTGTGACATGGGGGAGATTGTGTGAAGAGGGAATGAGAGCCTACGGTCGATGGTGCGGCCAGCTAAAGACGACTGCAGATAAGAGGGTGTAATGGAGATGTTCTGTTGAAGCCTTGTATCCCACTCAGATTCCAAGAGAATAATAAGAAATAACAATGGTTCAGCTGTTGTTAGATTAATAAAATATATACGGAAGCTTACAGTTTTCATGAGGCTTCTTTCGACTTTGTAGATGACTTTGAATGAATTCTCCTTACATATTGAGTGACCAGTATTGACTATATGTTCAATTATAGCACTCTTTATTGATCCACTGTTACCTTTTCGTAGCCAAGCGGGATAATGTTCTTTGACTCTTTTAGATAAAACACGCATTGTATGACCTATATGTCTCACTCCACATGAGCAAGTGAATTGGTAGATACACATAGAAGTGGTTTATTTGATTTTTTTTTTTAATAACCTTCTTTGCTTTGCTATGGATTGTGGCGACTTGAACTGCCGCACATATGTGCAAAGTTCTATGTCGAAAACCGACCGACCGACATAGAAGTGGTCAAATGCGATAGCTTACCTTTAGAGTTGTTGAAGAACAATGGGCGGCTTGAGAATACCAGTCGCAATGTAGCAGCAGAGAATGTTCTTTTCAGGACGTTAGATATTCTTCTCTTTAAGATGTCGGCCAGTATGTCGCCTTTAGACGCCACACTCATGTATAGCATCTTCGTCGGCACAGAGATGGCTTGTTCTTTGTTTATTTTCGGCTTTATGTGTTTATCTTTAAGGCGTGGTGGATAGCCATTCTCGAGTAGTGTCTTCCTCAAAAGAGTGATCTCTTCTTCTACACTGATGCGGCACTGCATATTCTACGGATTCTAGGCGCAAAAGGTTTTATCAAGCTCCACTTGCGGATTGATGGGTGCTCGTCAGTCTAAATTTATTTGAATTCCCATTGCTTGTTAATTGACCTTTCTAGTTTTGTATGTAAATGACAATCAATATATATATATATATATAATAATATACAATGGTGTGTGCACATGCATGTATGGGTAAACAGTTGTAAACCATTTGTTAACCTCTCCATTAGAAGATATAGACAATCGGGAATTTAGATTAAGTATGATTGATTAGTTATACATATCCATTTTTATTTATTAATCAGGATTTGCCATGCATCAGCTGACACCACACCTTCATGTCTGTTCAAAATTTTGGGATTCACCCATATATGTATAGCTTCTACATTCAGTTTTTCTTTTTATACGAACTAAAACCTTTCTGTAGAACTTTAGCCTTATCAAAGTCGATTTTGTGTCCCGTTTCTATCGATTGCAGTGCAATTGCTGATCTAGCTTCTCTAAGTCTGCAGAGGTCTTTGGAACCACCTTTAGATATTGTTTATGCTCTTTCACTCTTATATTTACCTGTCTGGAAGTTTCTCCTACATATACGGCATCACAATCCCCATAACTGGTCTGGTACACACAATTCTCTTGGTTGTCCTCTATTTTATCCTTAATCTTCACCAGTGATCAGCGTAAGGTGTTAGTTGCACGAAAATACACTCTTATGTCATGATTGTTAAGGATTTGCTTTATGTTTATGTACAGTTCTATTCATATAAAATTATCTCTGGTTTTGTACGATAGTTTACCAATAACCTTTAAAAATATGGCGAAAAATGCTTAACTAATCAATATTTTAGAAGAGTGGTAACTGGTATCATGATTACATCATAACTGCAAGACAAATAGAATCTTTGGTTAAGTTATTGACTATTGAAAAGATTCGATATAAACTCTTAAAATGCTTGTAAAGCGAATTTTTAAAAATATTGTTTAATTAAGGTATCTTAGTTAATAATCAAGCATAGATATGGTTTCTATGCTAATTTAGCTTTCTGCTTATTATAATTAATTTCAAGTGTGACCATGAATTGACATCAGCTAGAGAACCATTAGAAAACCTGGGAGTACTAGATAACTGTTTCGTCCTAGTTTGAGGCTCTTCAGAGTGCGAACCCACCGGTGGAGTTCGGACCCAGGACCTTTTGGTTACAAGGCGAGCTCGTAGACCATTGGGCTACTGGGACCCGATCCAGTGGCCAGCCAATGAATTCTAACTTCTGCCAATTCACGACATAGCGCGACCATTTCGCAATGTCTTCTTCGATGAGTTACTGCCTCACCGTCAACCTGCTGTACCCTACTGGTCACGACTTCCCACTAGAACCCCAGGTTAACATCCTGAATTCCTTTATATTAATTAACATTTAATTCCTTAGTTATGACAAGTTCCCTCTTAATTTTTCAAAACAAGAGTAACAGTGTAATCAAATAAAGTCTTTCATTTACTCCTTTAATGGTTATGTATATAGTTGTGACGATGTGTCACACATTTACACGCTATGGTGAATTTTGATTCATTAGTCAAATGGTGGTGCGTCGGTGGCACAGAGGTAGAGTGCTCACCGACCACAAAGGTTGTCCGGCTTTCGATTCCCTGCCATCGACACACTCCTTTACCTCGCAAAGCCAGTAATAAGACTGGTAAAGAGGAAAGGGAAGGTTGGGCATGAGGCTAGCAATCTCATCCTATAAAAATAATCACCACTGCTACAGAAACTTCAAGCCTGTAGCTTGAAGCCCTATGTTCCACCACTGGGAACGGAGAGGAATAGAAAAAAAATCAAATGGTGGTGTGCATAGACCCTTTAACCTGATTATTATTCCGTCTTCTATCCCTTGTTTGGGTTATGAGTAAGTACTGCTAGAACAGTTCTCAGCTAGAACAAATCAACTGTCCAGTAGTTTCCATTGTATTTTTCAATAGTATCATTTCATGAACAAATCTACTCCAGGATGATTTGTTAATCATGTGTTTGAATTCTTTATTTGTTTTTACAGCTATTTAATCGTCCGAATAATCTTTATCAAACGTTTAAGCTGAACGGTTCCTCTGTGGATAAACAAGATCACGTAAGTGTTCTCAATATATCCATATGTGTTAGTATCATCACATATCAGCCTATTAATCTGAAGCTTTTATTGTCCCCCTACTAGGCAACATCTTCAGCGAATACTTCAATTTGAATTGAAGTGAGCTTTTAGATTTCTCCACGAGTTTATTAGTCATCTCTCCTGGTGGGTGACCTTGAACGTGATTGGTTGCTTTTGTGGGTTTTCACACCCTCTAGGCTACTTGTATTGGAACTGATTGTTTCTTCGACTTGAACTTTGATCCTTTGTGTGTGATTTCCTTCTTATCGGTTGATAAATTTTGTCTATATCGATGTGTCTATTGATTGACGATTCACTGTATCTAGCGATCGAAACCGTGTCGTTGTCGTCTGAACGCAAGAAACAGATCTCTGTGTTCTACTGAATAGCTGACCGAAACTTCCTTGTGACACGCGCAGTCGTGAAAAGCTCCAATGACAGGAAAAAGACATTATTCTGGAATAATTCTGCGGTTCTATTCAACATTAATAACTTTAAAAACTCAAAACTACCTCAACGGTACTTTTAGGCAGCTATACAATCCGGTCTAAGTACAAAGAGATCACTTACAGTCAAGTAGAATATTCCTAAAAAGGTGGAATCAAAAGCTCTCCGTACAAGAATCACACACCAACATTTCCCGCGGACAGTCCAAAGTCAGAAATGACCTTCATTCACTCAGACGAAACCATATCGTTAAACAACACGTTATCAATGTCATCATACAACCACAACTGGATCAGAGACATATAATGAGAATTGAATCAGCATGTGATAAGGAAATGTCGAAATAGTAATAATATCCAGTCTAGGTAGGAGAGAAACGGATATCAATACGTCTAGGGTAGAACCACAATTTGCCTATGTCTTCGGCGTTGTGTTTCTTTGTCTTTCGTATCTTTCTTCTTGGTCTTCCTGTTATGATTTCCATGTTGTTCCACAAGCATCGTTCATTAAATCCGTCTCCCCGTCATTCGATTTTCTTGACGCTGATATACATATTTCTGTCTCCACCCATATACTACTTACAAATCTTTTCAGTAGCATACACCACAATATTGTGTTTTTCCACTATTTAGAGTTATTCTATTTCTTTGTACTCATATTCCATCATTGTGACATAATGACTTCTCGTTTCTCTGAAGTATGCTGTTTTGAATTGTTGCAGCTTCAACCGGTATGATCTTTCACAAATATCTGTCATAGGTAGGCTGATCCGAGTAGTTTATTTTTAACTCTCTTGTGAGTTTGAGCAAAGAATATCCTTTTCGATATACTCCTCTTCTGGCCCTACAATATATATATATATATATATATATATATTGTAGGACTGCAGGTGAACACACAGAAGACGGACGTGATGAAGATAATCAGACAACAGCAACACCAACCAGCACCAATCACCATCACTGGGAGAGATTTAACAGAAGTTGCCTCCTTCATTTATCTGGGAAGCATCGTTTCAACTACAGGCGGAATGGATGAAGATGTCAAAGTCACCCAGAATCCGAAAGGCAAGATACGCCTTCATCGACCTGAAACCAGTTTGGAAATCTTCTGCACTCCGCAGCATAAACAACATGATTGGGATTTTCAAAACAAATATGAAGTCGGTTCTTCTATACGGGTCAAAAACTTGGCCGGCGTGTCACGAAGAGGATTTCCAACAGGTTGCAAACTTTCATCAACAGCTGCCTTCGCTGCATACTGAAGATCGAATGTCCAGAAAGAATAAGCAACAAGAAACTATGGGAACAAACCAACAGGCAAGAGCCGATCGCTCAACAAATATGTAGGAGAAAATGGAGATGGATTAGGCATACGTTTATGAGACAGTTGAATGACACCGCGCGCAATGCAGGCCATTGCTTGAGTGGAACCTGAATGGGTAACGACGAGTGGGTCGTCAGTGCTAGGTTGACATAGAGGAGATCGTGTGAGGAAGAGATCAGAGAGCTTATGAGCAATCGTGGACCCAGCTGAAGAGGACGGCAGAAAACATAGCAAAGTGGAGCCAGCCCTATGTTCCACTCAAAACGCAAGGGAATAATAAAAAAATAATATGATGAACCAGGAACGCGAACTCACCAAGGACCTTGAATGCATACTATTCGTTGTATAATGAAACCTACCATTATTATGGAGCCAGTATGAACGAATTGAGGTGCAGATTTAATCCTGATCTTGTTATGTTGGATAATGTGTTGATAGCTCGTTAGGGTTACAATTAGGGTTTGGGTTGGGGTTAAGTTTAGGGTTGCGACTAGAGTCAGGGTGTTTTATTTTTACTGTTTACATTTTCTAGTGAATAGTTGTCGGTTGCCCCACTGGAACCCATACGAGTTCAATCGAGAGCTTTTGGGGAAAACTGAAAAACAGGATAATAGGGATAAAAATAAGTCACAAAAATAACTCATCTTCAGTTACCTTGATAAATGCATGTATTGAAACTGGTTTAACCTAAAAACTGATACTCCTCACAATAATTCGAGGATATTTTTAAGTCACGTCAGGGTAAAGTATCCTGTTTAGTGTTTTATCTTTACTCTCTATATTTCTTTTGTAAGTAAACTTCATTTTTATGTGAAAACCACTTGTTTTTATGACTGGTTGCCTCAAAGTAAGTCGTGCGTTCATATTCTATGCATCGCTGTAGTTTATCTTTGCCTGAGACCATACATGAATAGTAAACGCTAAGTCTCTGTAAGTTAGGTTATCATTAAATTCCATTTTTAGGATTATTTCTTAATTTGTTATTTCCTCACACGAATTTATCAAAACGAAGAGGTTTTTTTAAGTCAAAAAGAGTCACAAAATAATCGAGCAAAGAATATTCTTTTCGATAAATTCCTCTTCCAGGCTCTACAATTATATATATGTTTATATACACAGAATATTTTAAATTAGTAGTTAATAACCATATTAGTGTTCTTTTAAATAATATCGATTTGTAAAGTAAGATCACAGTGGAATTACAGTTCATTAAAGATGCTTAAATTATAATAATAATAATAATAAAGATATAGTAGCGAATAGAATATCAACTAAAATTAGGAAAATTCCACAAAAATTCCGGATTATTCAAACCTGGATGGCCAAGGTAATGATAATGACTGAACTAACTTCTTTTGGATGCATAAATTAGGCTTGTTAATATGGATCCCCACACCAGCCTCAGCAATATTTAGTAGTCGAACTCTTAAGGCAAAATTGAGATTCGTAGGTATGCGGTAAATGACCCTGAAAGCATGGTTAACGTCAATCTTGTGTTCTGTCTCCACAAGATGAGACAGAATAGCGCTGCGAATAGATTTTGTTTGTCCTTTGCTTAACCAACCATGCAGGGTGATGTTCGGAAATTCGACGAGAAACACGCCTAATTGTACGGCCTATGTATATAAACATATATATATAATTGTAGAGCCTGGAAGAGGAATTTATCGAAAAGAATATACTTTGCTCGATTATTTTGTGTTTTATAGATGTCTGAATGAATATTTTTGCTATATCAAAAAGAGTCAATTTCTTCTGCTTTTCTTTTCCTCTCCAGAATGGTTCCTTTACACCAAAAGTCTACACAAAGAAATCCTATGCACCATCTGTATCATGTCAACCACCTCAACAGGATATATGTCAAATGCTTAGAAAACAGTTAAATCTCAAAGAAGACAATAAAACTGCAACAACACCTGTGCTTCGAGAAAAGAATGTTAATGGCAAGCAGTCATCTCAGAATCGTTCAGCTTGGCAACCTCTTTCTCCTCAAATCGATACTGAACTCCGCCGGTCTGAACGTACAAATCGTAGCCTGTTGACTAGTATCCTGGCAGAACTACCAGATTTTTCATTTGATCATCTCTCTGTGTCTTCAACAAGTCAAGACGATTGTTCTCAAGTACCTCTACGGAAAAGTTTGCCAAACAATAAAAAAGATCATGTAGCCAGTCGTCGTTCTAGTACATCAAAACGTAGGGGTTGTTATATAGAACCTTCAGATTCAGGATTATATCGTGATTGGGTTTCTTTTGATTCTAGTCCTTCACCTCCTCATCATTCTCCCACGTAAGTTCTTGGAAAAGTTGCTCTTCACGGATTATTTTCTGTTCTCCAACTTAATTGTGTGTATCTCTACAACCAAGGGAACTAATATATTAATAATGACAATAGTAGTTTTATTGGTAACTCTAAACGAAAGACCCAAGTAAACGGACGTAATGACCTTGGTCGACCAATCAGATGGGCCCACAGTAAGTGCGCGTAATTTAAAGAACTCTTTTAGACATTATTAGTGTTAATATATTAGCAACTTTCTCGTATGTATCCCAGAAACCTCGTAATTTCTTATTGGATTCTGCAGTACTAGTCCAAGCCTAATTCTGTACATAAATGCTGTTTTGTGAATCATCCCCTGCTCTACACCATTTATGAATCCAAAAATAGGAACGACATATCTTCTTGGACAAATTTTCTGTATTGACAGCCTGGAAATCTGTACACATCCATTAACAGCGGCTGCATACCTCTGCAAATATATTAACTCCTCCATATCTACAAGCTTCCTATAGGCCTATTATCCTAACAGTACTCAATTAATATATGTGTAAAACTTGGGCACTGTGGTAGTAAGTAATTCCATATTAGTTTGTTTATTAGATGTATCACACAGTGAAATAGTATTATTTGCTGGATGACAGCGTTTCGAACGAAATTTATTTTTCATAATCATATCAATTGTGATCACACGACTTCGAAACTTCAGTTTTATAGTTTTCTTTGTCTTCTCCTAGTTGTCGTCGTTGGGGTAGTAGAATTTTCCAGATATCCCGGTGGATAGGTGTTGAATCATTCCTATTACATGTATTTGCAGTTGATTCGATAAACTAAGCTTCTGTTATCAATCTCTCCCTCCACCCTGTTGTTACATTGGATTTTAAAACTGTCATCCTATCCCATCCTGTTGTATGGTTGTGTGTAATTGCATGTAGTGAGTGCTATAGCTGAACTATTCTGTAGATTTCTTATCTTATTCGGATCAACCAATCTAGATTTTGCTAGGTTTTGTGCTCTGCTAGTCTGACTGCCCCTGTTCTACTAGTTTGACCTATGTATTTGACCTGACAATCATTGCAGGCAGGGTATTAGATAAACTAAATTGTTTTGTTTTAAAGGCTCCACAGGATTGATCCTTTAACCGACAAAGTTTGTTTCTAATTGAGTTTGTGGATGGTTTGAATGCCAGCCACTTTTATTCCTGCCTTGTTAAGAATTCTCCGGCGTAAGGTTTCCGAGGTTCCTTCCTTGTATGGAATTACTACTGATGATTTAGATTCCTTATTATTGGTGTCGTCATTAATATTATTATTATCATCACTATTATTATTGTCATTATTATTATATTATTATTATTATCACTATCGCTACTATCATTATTTATTTTATTTTTACATTTCCTTACATATTTCCTGATTAATTTATCCGGGTAATTACTAAGTTTCAAGGCTTCTTTTATGTGTATCACTTCCTGTCTTAGATTTTCCTTGGTGCTACTTAGTTTTTGTGCTCTGTCACTTAAACATTTCACCAATCCTATTTTTACTGACATAGGATGGGATGATCGGAAGTCCAAATATCTGTTTGAGTGTGTAGGTTTCCTGTAAACACTAGTGTTTAACTTCCCATCTTCTTTCCTTTTTACGTTGCAATCTAACATTGGAAGCTCCCTGAGTTCCTGACTTTCCAATTCATAAGTGAATTGAATTGCCTCTACCTTCGAGGTGATGTGTTCGAAAAATATATCTATATCTTGTGTTCTAAGTACAGTGAATGTGTCATCTACATACCTCCACCATACTTCCACCATACCTCCAGTAAATAATACTGTTTCACTGACTGTGTGATACATCTAATAAACAAACTAATATAGAAGTACTCAATTAATATCCCTTGATTGAATTTGCAACGTAATTGGTGTGTATCGCATCTATATTTTCACGTTTTCACTATGGGTTCATCTATGTCCGTTTACTTGGGTCTTTCGTTTGGATCGCCATAGTTTAGAGTTACCGCTTTATTCTGGACAAAATTATCTGCACAGTGTACAGAATTCTTAGCGTAATTTATTCCTTAATATTTTCTTCTCATCTAGGATCTTCAGGTAATAAAGCTATTTATATTATATCATGTGGTACAATGCGCTGTTCGATCTGAAGCATAGACCAATCTCTTATGATGTATTTCCTACATCTCTGAGAAATGCGCACCGGTATTTTGAAAGCCAAGCGACTCAAGGAAATAAGCGAATGTTAAAGCAATAAAAGTTAAAGAAATTATAATGTATTGTGTTGGATGGAAATTCGGATAGTTCAGGGATTCAAGCTTACAGGCGGAACGGATTAGGATGTCAAAGCTAGAATCTCGGAAAGGCAATGCCTACCTTCATCGCTCTGAAATCAGCTTGGAAATTTTCTCCACTCAGCATAAAGAACAGGATTCGGATTTTAAGCATCAATGTTATACCAGTCAGTCAGTTCTTCTATGTGGTTCAGAAACTTGGTGTGTGCGCCACGGAACAGCGAACAGCAGATTTCTCTGGCTCCATATTGAAGATCAGATCACCGGCTAGAAAGTATTTGCAACAAACCAAACAAACGTTGATTGTTCAACCAATATTCCGAAGAAAATGGAGATGGATGAGACACACATTGAGGAGATCATTGGGTGATATTTCGCTCCAGGCCATAGCTCAAGTCGAACCCGAATGGGAGAGGATGAGTTGTGCTTGGGTCCGAGGGTGATATGGAGCAGATCGTATGAGGAGGAGATTAGAACCTATGGACATTTGTGGAACCAGCTGAAGAGGAACGCTGAAAATAGGACAAAGTGGAGATGTGTTGTTGAAACCGTATGTTTCACTTTAAGCCCAAGGGGAAATAATAATAATAATAGTGATTAATGGAAGTCGCGATTACGGTAGTATTCGTAAGATATCTTGAATGGAGTTCTCGAAAATATCATTTACCTGGTTAACTACAAATCACCGTTTCTTTGTATTTCATTGGGAAAATTTAATCTTCTGCGTGGAGTTCAATTACTACTACTTTCTTTTGGGTTGAACGCCAACTAAGCAATTCTGAAGAGTAATAGTTTCTACTGGTATATTGTATTTGAAGCCTACTCGACATACCTATTCCTTTTCCAATACTAACTTCGGCGGTTTTAACAAGCTCTATAAATGTTATCACATTGGCTTTCATACTTCGATTGTTGATCTTTTGAGACACTAAATCTATGTAATAATAGATTTATTCTGGCCGGTGCTAATATAATGTACGGGAGTTTTGGCGGAGCTTATTGCATGATATTCTTCTCTACTCCAAGATCTTCAAATAGAAGATTGATTGACAACAGATCGTATGACACAGTTCTAGCTGACCCGAAGCGCAAACCAATCCATTATGATGATATCTCTTCTTTGTCTCCTTCGAGAAATTTACGACATTCGGTTAAATGCTAATTATAAAACGTTCGGGAGTATAATTTAATTGGTGGATGGTGACGCAGTGGAATCCAGCCAGATGCGCATTTCGTCCTATTTAGGACTCGTCATCTGGATGTACCTGCATTCCCCAGTCACTGAGTGATGATGTTCCCACCGAGGCTCGAATCCAGTGCCAAAGCGTTATCCACTACACCATTCGGGCCACGACAGCCACCTCTTGTGCAACGGGTCATATTATTAATTATTTAATTCAATTTTACATTTTCCCGTCGACTGATTGGACCGAAGTGCTCGGTCTCAGGCTAACATGTCGGCTTCGTGTGCATTTGCTTAGGTGATGTCTGGGCATGTAATTAGAAGTTAATTGGTGGGTGGTGACTAGCAGTGGAATCCAGGAACATCATTTCTCACCGGGGAATGCAGGTACATCCAGTTGACGAGTCCCAAATAGGATTCCACTGCTAGTCGCCATCCACCAATTAAATTCTAATTACATCCCCAGACATCTTCGAAGCATCTGCACAAGAAGCCGACATGTCAACCTGAGACCGAACACTTCGGTCCAATCAGTCGACGGGAAAATCTAAAATTCAATTTTTTAAAAAGTTCAGGAGTGTACTCTGAGAGCAGTTATCTCATGTATTGGGATACGTTGCCTTTCACGATCTTGCTTTTTTCAAGTTTAGTAGAAACTGGGGAATCACCGAGAGTAAACAATATTATTAGAAGTCATATATTAATAGATTAAAACAAAGTGAACAGGTGTAATTATATGCGATACAGTGGTGGTGTTGGCGGTGGCTGTTTTTGGTAGCCCACTGTAGATGATATTTCGGAAGTAGATTCATAGACCGCGGACAATATTTTGCCCCAAAACGTAAAGAAATTGCATTAATTTGGTTCCTGAAGCTAAGATCTTGGCGTATCCGTTAGAGTCTCAAATGTCATTCGACTAGTTGCATGAAGATATTCACAGATACATTTGCATTTGCACTTTTCGTTTATTTTCTGTGATAATAATAATTGATATGAATGTCAGAATACAGAATAAAAGAAGTAAAATTGCTTCCATTTTTCGGCTTACTCTAAACCATTTGTTCTACTATTAATTGTTGCCCCTATAAACGACCTGGCACAGCTGAGGGTGGGTAGACTTCAGTCGTCTTCCTGTCGAAATGCTTTCATGTGGACGGACACGCGTTCGTAGCCTCTGCCCTTATATGCCAGTAGTGTTCCTGACAAAAGTGAAAGTGGAGCTGGAAAACCTTAGCCCCAAACATGTGGTGTATATAGGCTCCAGAATCCGAATGGACCAACAGGCGTATGAATCTTTTTCAATGAGCGGTAACCATGGGAACGCAGCTCCTGACGCTACTCCATTGCCTTGTGGATCAGACTTCAAGTCAAAGGCTCCAGAGGGAGATGGTCCCTTAAGACAACCACCTGCTTTACGTAATGTGGACGTGAAAGCTGCTGTTTGTTCGTCAAAAGGTTATGAGGTGTTCAAATGTATTAACCATCTTACTGATTAAGAGTAGTCGGCTTTTCATCTATGTTCATTTTCTCTTCAGATATAGTAAAGTTATTTGAATAATCACAACTGACGCTTCACATATCCTCGAATTCGTCTTTTTTTGTTTTGTTTTGCTCTTCTCATTTTTGCTATGCACTTTAGGAATCTCGTTAATTTAGATTTTTCCACTACTGATTCAGTCAATTCATCATTTCATCCATTCACAGGTGATAAACCCGTAAGTGTGTAAATCTTCTGCTTTTCTATTTAATAATACTTTCATTTGTATATATGTATAGTGGCAAAACTTTTTTTCACAAATAGGCTAGTCTCAAAGTTTTTTATTGCCTACTGATTGTCTGATACTGTTATTTTTAAAGTTGCCTTGTTGGGAGAAAATATTTGGCAACTAAGTTTGTTGATTTTGGGGATGTTAATTGGCTGCTGTAGGCATAATCATTCTGGACATCATAACCAGGTTAAATTTCCCACGGAAATGAACTGTGTATATTCAGCTTATTGGTTTTTGTCTAATTATTCTGACAACTTCAGTGACATTACGTGTATGCTGTCCGTGATTGGCTGCTTTGCATACTGGTATTGTGATTGTTTCCCGTGTTTTGTTTTGTTTTTTTATTAGTGTTTCACTTAAAATTATTCCATCAAGTTAATGAGGTATCCCTGTTTCTTGACATTTTTAGTAACAGTCTTAGTCAATGTTCATGCCAACTACCCATCATAGCAAGAGGAATTGTCATATTCCCCTTTAATTTTGCCTAACATTAGTCTATAATCTTTGAATTGACTGACTGGCGTTAACATCGAACTTTGCAAAGAAGTACAACATCTCGATTCGCCACACTCCATACAGCACACAGAAGAAGACAGCAGAGATTCTCAAGAACCATAATAAGCAGAAATGTGAGGAGAAAGGATAGTAACGTGGAAAAACGATAGGAGATCACAGGGAGTAAATTCATCAGTGCCAATGACAGGGATTTCGAACCCTATTACCAGTTTGTCTCCAGTCATTGGTTTTTAGAATCCCGATGACCTCCAACAAGCTAAGAAGTTTACACCGCCCTGCATGCCTCAAACTAACTGCTAAAGATTCTATTCTATGTTTTGGTATGAACCCCACTAGCTCCTTTCCAACCTAACATAGGTCGTCGAGGAAGGCGATGCTTGAGCAGGAGTAACACGTGTCCCAGCCATCTGAATCGATGTAGCTTCATAACCCCATCGGTTAACTTTCCCTCTTTACTTAGCACTTGACGCCAATCTCAATATTACTCACCCACCACCTAATATGGGAGGTAAAATAGAGATATCTGTGATGAGAGACAGCTAGTCTTTTCATGTATTTCACTTTCAATGGCCATGTATCACTCACAGCTCTAACGCAAGACAGAACGAACTGTGGTGCAATACACACGTCCCTTTGATTGATAGCCGGCCGGCTAACACGTCCACGACAGAGATGGCGTAAGTTTTCCAACCCCACATGGGCCTTTTGTATCCGTTCTGAGATTTTGTCATCAGTCAGTCCTTTTGGGCTAACGCAACTTCCCAAATAAGCGAAAAGATCAACACTCCCTACCACTTCACCACCTACCTTTAAGCTAGGAGTCGATGTAGTTCAGACATTCGTAGATGGCAGCTCAAGGTGTTCAGAAGACTCTGCATTTTGTCAGCGTCCTCGCCTAGAAGGACTATATCGTCTGCATATTCTAAGTCGACGAGATTATTCCCTGGTAGCAAGTCAATCCCTGAGTCGCTGAAGTGTGTTAGGGTTAAGTCCATTAGTACGTCTATGATGAAGTTGAATAGGAATGGGGATAATGGGTATCCTTGACGGACGCCACTAGTTGTCACCACTGCAGATGACAACTCGCTGTAAACCCTCACCTGGCTGCATGAGTACGAGTAGAGTGCCTTAATCAGTGCTATGCATTTTCTCGGCATTCCCTTTACAGCCAAGCATTGCCAGAGAACCTCTCGGTTGATAGAATCGAATGCCGCCTTTAGGTCAAGAAATGTAATGATTGCTGGACGCCAGTAGAAATGTCTATGTTCTAGAATCTGTCAGAGGGTGAAGATGTAATCAATACATCCTCTTCCTGGCCTAAAGCCTGACTGGTTTTCTCGTGTTTGTGCCTCCCGAGCACCACTTAGTCTACGCATGATAATTGAGCCGACATGTCAAAAGAGGCTGATTATTTCAGTTCAATCACTTAACGGGAAGATCAAAATTGAATTTTTTTTCCGATGAAAATTTTGCTTCCAAATCACTGAAATATCATCATTCCTTTCTCTCTCTCTCTCTTTAATTTTATCAAATTCTTTTGTAATATCTCGTTATATAGATCATATCGTTATCATCAAGTGGTATGAAACAGGTGAACTGTGATCCCGATCAATTAGAAAAAGACATTATGGATGAATTTGATCAGTTGTCAATATCTCGAATTAGAAAATCATAGTTTTCTTTTAACAACTAATCTCCTATTAATAATTTTGATAATAATAATATTATTATTACTATTACTACTATTAATATTGCATAACATGTTTATTATTATGTATATCTTATTCTCTCTTCCTCAATCTGAAGTGAATCTCCTCCGTCTGTAGAAGAAGAAAAGTAATCTCATTCCAGTTTCTTTTATTTTCCCAAAAATTAATATTTTATCTATTCAGTTTTATATAATATAATAGTGGCTACAAGTTTTTTTGTAGTCTTATTGTTATTATTATTATTACTACTACTGTTATTATTATCATTTTCTCATTGAAATGATAGATAAACATGTGCATTATATTTATTACAATTTATAATATATACATATTAATTATTCATAAACTATTTGCTCGCTAGTGACTTGCTGCTGCAGGACGGAGTTTCGGGAGTGAGGATGGAGTTCCCGCCGATGACATTGGTTGTTGATCGCGCTAAATCATCACGAATTAGTAGAAGTTAGAATTCATGGACTGGCCATTGAGTAAGGTCCCAGTGGGTGGATGATCTACGAGTTTTCCTCGTAACTGGAAGTTCCTGGGTTCGAACTCTGGTGGTGGGTGCGTACTATGACGGAATAGCCGTCCATTACTCCCTGGTTCTCTCTCTAACTGATATCAATCCGTTGTCAGACTCGACAAACTATTTGTTGTTCTTTATAAGATGACGGTGACTGACTGACTAGTTCCGACGTAGAACTTTACACGGACGTGCAGCAGTTCGAGTTGCCACACTCCCTCCTTGTAGCAGACAGAAAGAGAGATAATGACAGAAATATGAGGCAAAAAGAATAGTAATATGGAAGAACAATAGGATTTTACTGGATATTATAAATCACAAAGAGTGAATGCATTGGTACCAGTCAATGAGAACGATTTCGAGCTATATCACCAATTGTCTCCAGCCCTCATTGGTTTTTACCATCCCGATGACCCCAGCCAGGAAGTTTATACCCTGCTACCTGACTGTCTTAAACTAACTGTTGTAGATTTCATTGACTGATGAAGCCATGTTTTGGTTTGACCTCCATCAGGTCTTTTCTAACCTGATCCTATGTCAGCTAACATCTCCCGTCGATCGAGGGAGGCGATAGCTATACATTCATGCGTGACGCATGTCCTAACCATCTCAGTAAATCGGTGTAGCTTCACAACCTCATCGATTGATTTTCCCTCGTTACCTAACACGCGACTGACGGCCAACCTCAATATTACTCACTCTATTATACTACGTAACAGGGGAGGTAGAACGGAGATACCTATGATCAAAGACAGCTAGCCAGCCTTTTCATATCTTCCACTTTGAATGGCCGTGTCTTAAACCCAGCCATAAAGGAAGACGGAGTGAACTGCTAAGCATTACACACGCCGTTTGGTCGACAGCCAGCGGCATATCACGTCTACTAAGCCTGAGATGGCGTAAGTTGGCATATACCAAACGATCCTTCTCTATCTGTGGTGCGATTTCGTCAGCGATCAACCCACTGGCGTTGGCTGATGCAACTTCCCAAATAAGTGAAGCAGTCAGCATGCTCTACAACTTCACTCCCTATCTTTAAGCTGGGAGTCGAAGTAGTCCAGTCCTATAGCATTATCTTACATTTGACAGGTACTTTATTCTTTTGTGTTCACAGGGCGTCAAACTTGAGCTTTGAAGTTTCAGTAGCACTGGTGAGGTTTCTAACCTCAAGTCCAACCTTCCCTCTCTACCTGGCTTTCTACGGGCCAGTTCAGTTTTAGGAATGCGGCCGCCGGGATTCGAACCTTGGACCACTTGCTTGGATGGCCAGTATTCTATCACTGAACCACCGACGCACAAAAGTCCTTCGTGGAGATGGGATTTGAAACCACCCCATTTCAGACTGGTGCCTGAGTCCAGCGCCTTGAACTGCTCGGCCACTCCACAGACTAGATGAAGCGGCAGATTGATGTAAGCAGTTTGAATTTACTCATGTCAGGTCAGTAACATGATGTTAATTTCACATGAATTAAAGATCCCCACTGTGTAATCAGAACAAGGTGATTTTTATTCGAATAGCTGTTCTTGATAACTTCTACAGTTATAAATCTATGAATATTAGAATACAAATAACCAGTTAGTAAAGGCAAACCGAAATTATATCAGAAACTATATTTTTGGGGTACAAGTATAATATGAAATAATAGTCCGTTAGTTAACATTGTCAACTACATGTATATAAAATGTACAGTCATTCACAACATCAGATAATATGTGAATAGACAATTGAGTGACTTACTAATGTAGTTATTGTCAACAGAATATACGTTTCGTTGGTCGGGTGAGTTATATTCAACAGTGTGAGAGAATTATAGATACTACAAACAAATGAGTGACACTGAGTGCAAGTTAGAGGGCTGACAGATAGCAAATGTATTGATAAAGTAGAGGTTAAAAAGTGAATTGTAATCAAATAGTAGAGACATGATAAGCTTAGTATAAATTACAAAGGTTGATGTATAATAATGGTGTGAAGTGAGCTAGATCATAGTAAAACCCTCTAACCAATCAAACATAATGTTTACAAACCAATACTTGAAAAATTGATTCGATGCTCACTAGTGACTGGCTCTATTCAGGTAGTTACCTGTGGTTCTAGAGGGAAGCCGTGACCAGTAGGGCACAGCAGGTCGAAGGTGAGGACAATTACCATCGAGGAAGACATTGCGAAATGGTCTTGAATTGGCAGAAGTTAGAATTCATAGGCTGGTCATTGGATCGGGACCCAGTGGCTTAATGGTCTACGAGCTGGCTGGCCTTGTAACCAGAAAGTCCTCAGTTCGACCCCTGGCGGTGGGTGCGTACTGTTGAAGAGTCCCAAAGTAGGTTGACGAAACTGCTGTCCATTACTCCCTCGTTTTCCAATGGTTCTCCAACCAATCAAAAATGAATAGGAAGAGTATAATAATGACATGAGAATGTGAAATGATTATGTCCCTGCTGACCTTATAGCAGGCCAGGGTAAACACAAAGAGGATGAATGTACTTTTTTGCACAAATAGGTCGGGTTTCTTCTAATTAATCTCTATAGCTTCAGCTATAGCTAGGAGACGTAATCATATACCTTTAGGCAGATTGTTTGGTACTCGACATATAACCGTAAATGACTCGTCTATTTTGGTGAGTTGTTCAATACCCACCAGATGAAATAAAATGGCATTATTTGATTTGATTTATTTTCCTTTTTTCAAGCCAAACTGGAACATGTTCACGACTATGTAAAGACAAATTTCCGTGAGTACAACCTACATATAATTAGCTGCACTTGAACAGGTGAATTTGTATACACATTGTGATGTGGCCATTACATTTAACTTGAGTCACTTGGTCGGTATTTTACAGTTATAATAATAATGTGCTTTATTCCAAAATAGTACTAATATCACAGTGTGGAATTTTCAGCATTTTGGTACAATATTGCATCTAATTTTATCGAATAATATTAAAAAGAATCATGAATATAATACTGCAGGATTGTTAATGGCAGTTCTTATTTGGTATTAGTATTGACAGTAAGATCATAAACAAAAAGAAATTTGTAAAATAATAGTAATAAGGTTAGTAGCTAAGATTGTCGGTTAACTGGGATAGTGTCAGCATAGATTACAAATAAGAGATAATAAAAGAGCCGATTATTTTGCAAACAACAAATCAATTGATAAGTTTCATGCTTTACATTGTCTCTATCGCATAGAAGACGGGCTAAATATCGTACTGCTGAGCTCCTATACCTGGTAGTACTAGCATATAATCTTTTGTACTGACTTCTGTTTCTACCTGATGAGATACAAGGGGAGAGTTGAAATGGAGGAGGTGTTATGGGTCACACAGTATGGATTTAGACCACTTCTCGCATGAGTTCACACGTCTATCAAATAACGTAGTAACAAGCTGAATATGCTGCACACCACCTGACCTGCTGACAGCCTTTAATACCTTTCTCAAAAAGACGTTGTCCTTTTTCAGTAGACCAGGAAAGACTAAGGGTAGGGAGCAATAAAGTACAAAAGGTAAGATATACGAATTAACAAATTGTAAAAGCAGAGGTTGAGTGATTCCAGATTGTTTTAGCTTCTTAATGTAGTAGCTTATACTGCACATTTTCTTGGGGATAGATGAAATACTGGATGACCAAGTAAGGTCAGAGAATAGAATTACACCAAGTCGTGTCGATCCCTGCTTGCGCACACTCGATATCTATGGTTGGCCTGTAAATTTGGCTACCGATATCCATGCTGAAAATTCCACACTTGTACTGAAAATACGGTGTGGAATCAAGCTGTAAATCAAAATATAAAAAAAAAAATATTGTGTCAGACTTATTTTCTATTGCAGTCACCTCTATGCTACAAGCATCGTGTGAATTAACCAATCGTTGTAGATCCCTTTTACGCCTAAAGGAGAAGTCAATAGCCTAGCATTTTGAGGGATTTAAGGTAAGAAGACCATTCAGCTTAAACCACTGACTGATGTCCGTCAGAAAGCAATTAAGTTTGCAACAGTCAAGTTAGAGCTGATGAAATAATTAATGCATGATGATTATAACCTTTGCAAGATGGTTGATTAACGTTTAAGCAGCCAATGATTCTTGAAGGGAAGTTGAAAACTGGATGATGACTGGCAACGATTGGATAGAAAACAATAGTTAATTAAAAAGAAATAAGCTTCTGTTAGGACAGACAACCTGTCATTGTTAGCCTTGAAGTCATGATTGATGTATGCACTGACTTGATAAAGGAACTGGACGGTTTTTGATTGGTTTATTTTTAGAGGATCTTCAGGGTCATGCAACCAATTAGATATTGATTATTTATTCATGCCTTGGGTGGATTTCTCAAAGGATTTGTAAGTCATATTTTACCCTGTATTTCGAAAAATAAATTCGTAGTCGCAATTAAATCTGACTTTTGTGTCTATCTCTGTGTGTGGGGGAATATTTTCAACTGATCAGTTGGCTACAGTGTCGTGTCTGCAGGTGGATTCTAGTCTAGTTAGACGATAACCACAGATCGATAACACTCCGTCATAACATATTTGGCGATGGGGAAAATTTCCACTTGGGTTCACTTACCCAGGATCAGTTGAAATGCTTAATTTTTACTTGTCGTTTAAATTCTGCTACTGACTCAGAAATCAGTAACCATCCGCTGTAACAGTTTCGAAATAACAACCACCACGAAAAGCTCTTAGGTCACTAATAATAAGGAGTGCTTCGAATGTTAGATTTTAGCATAAAAAGGAAAGAAGATGGGACGTCTCTCTGTTTTCGACATAGAACTTTGCACATATGTGCGGCAGTTCAAGTCACCACACTCCATGTAGCACAC